ACATCGGACCGATATCCGATATCAATGTCGGATCGGGACACCCCTACTGATGAGCTCAGGAAAAAGATAAATACTAACAAACACTTGATGGGAACTCATTCACTAAATATAAATTTTTGCTCTACTATAAACACTTTGACATACTTTACATTCATTTTGTTAAAGGAGGAAAGAAGTGTTTTTAAGCTAACATTTGAAAGAAAAGCATAAAATAGGCTTGTATGAATATTTTTTTGAGATAAGAAAATTTCTCAACAACTCAAATTTAAAAGCTGAAAACTGAAAAAGCTCCTCAGATGTTTTCGTCTTTTTCCACCCACGCTTCCAGGCGTGACTGAGGTTGTGCCACACCTGTCTCCAAGATTTATTTTCTTACAGTCATTCAGTAGCAGTGAACGGTAGAGAAGAGTACAACATGGCTCAGTGTGCTGCGATTAATTGTTCAAATCAACCAGAAAGTACAAATGGAGTTTCATTCCTCAGCTTCCCAGCAGATAAAATCCTTTCACAGATTTGGATATGTAGACTCAGACGTCAGAATTCCTGTCTAAAGCCGAGTGYCCACCTGTACAGTGACCACTTTGAAGAGGAGCGGCTGAAACAAGTCCTCACTACTGCTTCACACAGGTTATCTTTATTTACAAGCAAAAAGCAGATGGAGACGAGGAGGTCACCACAGAATCCCAGATGAAAAAAACAAGGAGTTTGTTAGTTTGTTTGTTAGCCTCACTCAAAACCACAATTATTACGCATGCATCATTTTAAAAAATAAAAGATAGTTAGCATTAATTAGAGAATAATCTCAAACAGGGAGGATTGAAGTGGCAGGTTCTTAGTTTGTTAGACTAATTGTGTAAGCCAGATTCTTCTTGTTATAAACAGTTTGCCATGCTTGGTCAGGAATGATCCAGACAGCGGGGAAAAAACATCAGGTCAGAAAGTTACTTTCATTTGTGTGTGTGGGACTCAAGAGCTGTTTACAATGGAGAAAGAACAGGGGTGGACTGATTAACGGGAAATGGTGATGAAGATCTGTTCTGGGAAATGTTATATAAAAGTTTCCAGTATGTGTGTATGTGAGAAGTTATCTCAAATCTTGGCTTAGATTGATCTGATTGRGTGCATAGAATGTATAAAAGACACCGGAGTCGTGACTTCGATAAAACTCCCTCAGCTGGCCATCAACCAAGTGTCTTCTGCTTCTTAATGATCCAAGCAACTACACAGTAAGAGTGCATAAAACTATTTATTTTATTTTACTGTTATTTAACCAGACAAGCCCCATTGAGATCACAGATCTGTTTTGTAGGGGGACCAGGGCCTAAAGGCAACATATTATACATATTTTTAGTACTACAAAATACTAATGAAACTAATATAAACTTGAGATTTTGAAAAAAGTAATAATTTCTCTCTCATTAGTTGGGCATTTAACAAATACAAACAGACGGACGGACAAATACAAACAATTTTGGGAATTTAAACTGACATAAAACAGTTAAGATTTAATTTGATTTTATGTCAGACAGTGAAAAAATATGTTGCTGTGTGCACTTTATTCTGAAGTGTTTAAAAACATTTTGTAACTGTTTGTGTTCGATCTCAGAGTCTTGTGAAGGAGGAGCTGCAACCACACTAAACTATAGCTCAGTTTCTGTAAATAARATATATKTGTTATTCTTAAAGCAGWAAAGGTTCAGRCATTTTTGTGTTAGCTAAGATCACTGAGCWCAGGTGGCCATGTTAAATATGGATGAAGCTGTGCGTGTACATCAAATGATTACTTTCTGTAAGTCATCAAACTCCATTCAAACATTTATAAGATATAATAGTAGTAATCTAGTAAACTAGTAATCACTAATCTGGGTGATAAAATGTCAAGAAAAAGTTAACAATCAGTGCTGTCATTAATCACAAACTACATTACTGCAGTCTCTTTAACAGTCCAAAAGATGGTGCAAACGGGAGGAAAAGATCTGTGTTGCTGAAACTACAGCTGCTGCTCCTCCCTCATGAAAAGATCASAAACTGCTGGATGAAAGTCAGCAGACATGAGCAGTCAGGTCAGTTTTCCACAATCAGAATAAGATGATCAGATTAAGTGTTTACATGCACGCTGTTCAGATTATCAATCAACATAAACCACCTTCGATTACTTATGTCCATGTAAACATGAGCTATGTTTACATGGACATAAGTAATCGGATTAAACAGCTATTCAGAATAAAAACGCATCATGTAAACACCCCATTCAGATTATTCTGACCTGATTCAGCTCGATCCGAATGAATTTGTAATCTGAATGAGGTAGTTTATGCTGATTAATGCCTATATATACATTTATTACTATAACTGAGTCGTGAAAATGTATGTTTGTATCAAACAAGTAGGTCTATGTGTTCCTCTGTACCCCTGAAGTAGCTCTCAGAAAGGTTGGTGATTCCTGTCCTACAACACCACCACCCACAATTCARATGTTTGGTTTTAGAGACTGTAACAGACGTTTTACAACATTCAGAGTCACGTGTGTAAGTCATCCTTCCACCCACCAGGACTGATTCTCTACAGGAAACACTGATAAAGTTTTTCATAACAGTTCCATGCTGTATAAGATTAGTCTCTGACTCAGTGGACCTACTGTCAGGATGCTGCAGGGTTCAGGTTCAAATCTGATATTTGATTTTGAGAACATCTGRAACCTTCTTGTCACTTTATTTATTGATATAAGCTGCTACAGCCCCATCTGTTGGACTGTTAATGACACTGCAGTAATTACTCTGTGATTAATGACAGTTGGAGAACTGAAACTTTGGTGATTCCAGATACACCAACAATTCATATGTTTGGTTTTAGAGACTGTAACAGACACTTTACAACATCAGACTGACACACAGAGTCATTATATGAGACTGGTTTTTTTGGCACCTCTCCCCCACCCCCGACCATTTCCCTGAGGAAACACTGAAAAATCCTTAAATAATGTCCTGTTTATAGAAATCATTGGGCCTCATGTGTTCGTATTCTTCTCCTAKATTTCTCTTACTTTTGTTCGTACAAAGGGTTCGTACGAACATGTCACGTCAGATTCAACAAACTCTTCTATCTTCAGGAAAAGTGTGTAAATGAGCTGCGTAAATTCCACCTGTTCGTATCCAGCTGCTCGTGCACGAGAGAGGAGATTAGCATAATTACCACCCCAAAAACACCATATAAGGCTATGTTTCCTGCCTCAGATATCAGGAAGTGTTCATTCATGAAAATGACAGTGAAAACTAAAAAGAAGAACTTTARGAGTTCTTGGACTAACAGCAGGTCCTGAATTTTGCCTGGATTTBTGGTGTTTTGAGTTCTTAAAGAACTCAGGTTACCTGTCTGAATGTTGTTTTTGTGTGAGCTGTTGCTGTACGCTGCATAAAAACAACAACAGATACAGTAATGCACATTGTTTAACACAAATCACCTGGTGAGAACAGCGCGATGGCCTTGAGGCAGCTGTACTCAGCAGAATCCACCTGCAGCCTGGTCAGCTTGTCCACCTGGTCTTGGAACATCCTCACCTGGTCCATGAAGGACACCACACGTTCAGCGGACATGGGCGACGAGTGGAAACCAGCTGCAGCCAGAAGGGGTGCCATGTGGAGGGGCAGGGCTGACTGTGCTGCGTTGAGGATGAAAAGCTCACTCCAGCTCAGCCTCAGCAGTGCCACCTGTAGATAAAATAATAAAGATACATTTTACTGCTACAGAACATGTTTTCTGTCGACTTCCTGAACATCAGCATTTGTTCTTGATGTTGAAAGTTTTGAAATCATGTCAGAAATCAGATGTGATGTGCTAACCTGGTCTGACACAGGCAGTTCAGGGAAATAAGGAATGTTCCTGGCCCACTCCACTGTGCTGAAGAGCAAACGAGCAGCCAGTTCACAGATATTATCTATGCCCATGGAGTTATCTGGACTGGTCTGCTGGTTGTACTGGTGTCCGTATCGACTGCTGGGATATGGCTCGGCTCGCAGCAGCTGGGAAATGAGCTCAGACACGGGCTGACCTCCACTTCCTCCTCCATTATTGTTGTTGTTGTAAAACTCCCCACCTCCAAGGCCACTTGCAACACCTATGGGTGTCATGGAAGGACTTAGGCTGGGCTGAGGTGGGATACGACCGCGCTGAACTGCTGTAGTTTAGTTGGGGGACACAGGGGAGGGGAGGGGGATTGGTRGGGAGTTGTCAGGGGGTAAACAGTGTAAAAATGGGAGGGGGGGGGACACCACAGGTAAAGAAAGTTAAAACTTTCACATACATATAGCAGTGTACATGAAATCATCAGCTGAAAGGCTTGAGCCAGTTAGCCCGGCACTGCTTACAAATCTAAATGAGGCCTAATCAATCTTCTACTTAAAACTGATTGATTAGATAAAAAATAGGCAGTCTTAATAAACCTAATTTCAAAGATGACTTAGCCATCTTAAAACAGCTCCACTTAAAAAAACTTCACTAAAAAGTTCAGGAATAAGCTCCAACTTTTCATATTCCAGTTAGTGTAGCAGAAATATGTGACCCCTGGACCCCCTGGATSTGCTACATCCCCCCACAGGATCAACARCTCCTTATGGTTCCCCTCACTCACTTTAAGACCCGTGGTGACCGGTCCTTCTCCTCTGTGGCCCCCAGGCTCTGGAATGAACTCCCTGTTAATCTGAGCTCCATTGATAACATTGTCTCTTTCAAGAAACACCTAAAATCCCACTTTTTTATTCAATCGTTTAGCTAACCATTTCACCATTACTGCAGGCCTACCTCCATTGTGAATGC